GGTCAAATTTGCCAGCTGTGGTTTGCTCTGGTTTCTGCATAAAGCCTTTTCAGCACTTTACTACCACCTGGCCTCAGCTGAGGAGGTAAGAAGTGCCTGGGTACCAAAGGGGCCCTTTACAAGGGAGATATTTTACCCTTCAGGAAAACTGGCAAACTTGCTGTTGAGAAAACAGGGAATCATACACTGGAATTACTCCTAAAAATTTCATTGGACCTTTTATTTCTCTTTTCTTTTTACATTACCAATGTAATTATAAGTTCAAGTTCAGGATTTAACTTGTGAACTCTTGGGAGATAGGAAAGGATATATATTTTGCTAAGTCAGAAGCTAAAGTATTTGTATTTCTATTAAAATCATTCTTAATATGCAGAGCCTATCTCAACACTTCTCTATCATTGGGGATAAACGACTGCAAAAATATACAGCATCCTATTTATTTACAATATATATATGTACATAAAAATGAAATTTCCTACAATACAACACAACTGCATAGATTTGTCTTCAGAACATAGGCATGTGTACAATTCGTGAATTCTAGACCTTTCCAGCCCTGTACTTTTTATTAATTCATTATCTTTTTTTTTTTCACAGTTTGTTACAGAAATCCTTACATTAGATACAAATAAAACATTCTTTGTGTACGTTATAGGAAATAAGGATTTTCCTGATGCCAAGGGCTTTGGGGAATTGTTTAAGAAAGCACCCTGGTGCCAGGCGATAAAACCATCTTGTGGAGCTGCTGCTGGAGCTGAGTACATTCTGCTGTGCCTTTCTCCTATAGGCACTGGGGTGGGATGGTAGGTCTGGAGGTGGGACACCACCACGTGTAAAGAGTTTTGTTTTCACCAATATGCTCTTTAGCCTTAATGTAAGGTTCAAGCAAAGAAACATATTCGTTTAAACATGAGCTAGAGATGCCATTAATTGTTACTGTTAATACTCAGTATCAGAAAGAGCTGTGGTGCTTATGCATTGTACAGAAACAACCCATATATCATCCAGCCTGCATTTGCAAGTGTGCCCTACTGCAAGTGGAGCAGGAGCTGCAGGGTAGGATATATGGCTTGGGAAAGCAATCCCCAGGAGCAGACAGGCATCCTCATCCCTGACCTCGTAGGATGAGACCGGCTGCTCTGCCCGGGGCCGGCACACGGGCCGGGCAACACTCTGGCCCTGGCAGTGCCGCAAAAGGTCTGCACTGACACACGAGGTTGGCATTGGCCCCCTGACCAGGAGCAAGCATCAGCCAGAGAGGTCACAGCTCCTGAGATGCTATTCCCAAAATCCAATTTGCTGTGTTTTACTTAACAGGCGTGTTCGCCATCGGACAGAGCAGGGAAGCTGTATTCTGCAACTGTAAGGGCGCTTTAACCTCATGACTATTTTCTTTGCAATGCGCTGCGGGCTAGGAGAGGCAGCAAGGCCGTCTTCTAAGTGCAGGATTAACTCCTACTGTCTTATTAGGAGCCTCTGCTTCTAATTAGTCCTTCCTCATCCCTCACCACTCAGTTGTTGCTACTATGCAAACGAGGATTTTAAATTATTTTGTTGTAGCTACTAGGAGCAAATTTGCATCCAGTCTATTATATTTGCAGTGCTCACCATAGTGATAAACTCTCTATGAAAAGAAAGCATGCTACCACCTACTAAGTAGATATGGTACTCTGGGTCCTATTAATTTAACAACAGAGAAACTCCTACAGCATTTCACTGTGCTCTTAAAATCCTAGCTAAAATGTGGGACTCGTACATCGTTGGCTACAAGTTCACTATTCCAAATGAACTGAATAACAGCAGTACATTTTACAGATAACCTCATACAAATATTGTCATCCATCACTGATGTTGACAGTTACAGCAGGGTCTATTGCATTCTGTTAAGAATGTATAAACCTGATGAGAAAACAAAAAGCACGTTATTTCACGTTCATTACCACAGACATCAATAAACACATGATTCCTTTCCATAAATATCTATAAATATGATTCCAGTAAATCAGTCTAAGCAAAATTCCCTCTTTTTTTTCTTTCTTCTTTTTTTTCTTTTTTTTTTCTTTTTTTTCCAGAAACCCAGAAGCAAAGCCTATTTAAAGACTCAGTATTTTGGGTATCTGTTTTTCAGTATCTAAGATATGCTTTGATGGTCTAGTACCTGGGGTAATTTCACTCTATGCACACACCCAGCTCATTCTTCTCCCTGTTTATCCAGTAAAACTCCAGTATACAAATAAACTGGGAAAAAAGAAGGTAGAACAGCAAAGAGGAGAGAGAGGGATAGTGACGGGGGAGATTTGGGAAGATGCAAGGAACAATCAGCCACCCAACATCCCTTCAAGCCGAAGGAAGCTGGGTGCCAAAACTCAGTGGTTGGTATTTTAAACACAAGACTACAGACTATTTGTGGGATGGAGATGTTGCAGTCATGACATTGCTGGGACACTATGCAGCAGATCAGACCTCTAGCTCACACCTGGCTACTTGAAAATCATTCCCAGGATCTCCACTCTCACAACCCCCCAATGCACAGAGCTGCACTGCTCATAAATCAGTAGTAGAAGAAGGATAAAGCAGGGAGGAAAGCACGAGAGCCCTGGAGCATCTTAGGGATAACAATGTACAGCATTGTCAGGTCTGAGACAGGTTTTTTAGGGTAAGATCCAGAGAGATTTTAAGGCACCTCAAAACCTGAAACACAACCCCAGCAAGCCGAGTCAGAGAATGGAGTGAGATGCTAGGCTCCTGCTGCAGTGATCAGGGAGGCAGGTGCCTGCAAAAGATGAGTCCCAAACTTACACCCCAAGCTGGGAGGATGCCTGGAATGAGCTGCAAGGAGATAAGAACCAAGCATAGGTTCTTCTCTCCAGAGCCTGACCACCATCTGGGCTCATAGGCTGTGGTATGGACTTCTCTATGAATAAGGGCAGGGATCAGCCTCATAAAGAGACAACACAGAGAGAACTGGTGACCTGCACCATCGCAGGCAAGGGCTTGAGACCAGCTGCAGGAAAGCATGAGCGACCTCAGCCTGGGGGTCCCAGTAGCTCAGCGGTTTATGTGTTCAATGCTGGGCTGGAGGGTGCTTGGGAGGAAGGACGATGCACCTGAGATCTTGCTGGGAGCCTGTTAGGGAAGGTCTGAGGGGCCAGAAAGATGGAATAAGGTAACACACTCTGCAGTCTAGCAGGTCACTTTGCCTAGAGCGAAAAGGCTTCCAGTTTTGTTCTTGCTGGTGGGCCACTCCGAGGACTTGGGCAGCCTATGGAGGCCACCGTGTTATTTCTGGATCACAGTGGAGTATTGGCAGAGCAGCCGATACTGCCTAGGCAGAGGTACAGATCTGGCAGTCTGGATTTAGTCGGCTTAGTTTTTTGCAACATGAATGCTCCGCACCTCAATGCCCAAATTCCAAGGAAGTCCCTAAACTAACATCTCTGGAGGTCACCCATAGAAACCAATTCTCAGAGTCCTGAGAAGTGCTCTGTGGTCTCGACTCTCAGTGACTTCAAGCCATGTAGAACAAGGCAACGGCAACCGAGACAATTCAATAGCTCACAGAAATCTCAAGATCCCAAATTCTCCATCCCTAACCTTAAAAAGACCAAGCTGCAATGACAGGTTCCCCACAGCTGAGGACAGTCTCTTTCCACAGTTACAACGGGAGTTGGCAAATGAAGCAACTACTGGGAACGAGCTGGTCACTGACAGGTATGGCTCGAGCATACCGGGGGCATCGCTCAGCCTTCGGGCGTGAAGCGGGGCTCCCTTCAGCCATCGGTTCTTTCAGTGGGAGCCAGGTTCATGTTCTGAGACACTTAGCTCACACGGTGAAATGACACAAAGCGAACGCGTTTATGCTGCTGGCAGTGCACTAATAGAAGATGTCTGCTCAGGATGGTTGACAATCACCTGCTTAGCGTCTGAGTCTCTACAAGTAGTTCTCTACACCCGCTATAAGGCATTAGGCAAATGCTTATTTTGTGGACCATAGATGCAAGTTACAGTGTTTCTGCTAGTAGTAACTGAATGTCTTTAACGGTAATGGAGAAGCAATGAGAAATATAAATGAACCATTTTAAATATAAAAAGTGTTTCTGTTTGTTTAAAGGAATGTTACAGATTTCAATTTCCATTAGAAATCCAGTAGTTTGGCGGGGTGAGTCAAATCCTGCTCCCACTGCTGTCGAAACCCCACTGACTTCAGTGGGAGGAGGATAAGACACAAGAGAGGACCTAGTCTCTACAAGGAATGTACAAACAAATCTCAGAATGGAAAAGGTTTGAGGTATGATTAAAGGTGTAGGTTTTGATAAAACTGGAGCTTGGTGGGGTTTTTTTTGTTTGTTGTTCTTTTTTTTTTCTGAGAGAAGTGGGGCATTAGTAAACAGTTTAATGCTGAAGAAAATGCAGACTTCCTATGGAAATTGTCTGCTTCTCTTCAGGCCCAAATCCTCATGGTTTGGGGTAAAGTCTAGTTCTGGTCAGGCAAAACTGAAGTGTTCCAGGGGAATGGTGGCTGGTGGTGGCTGTTCTCCTGCTCCCTGCACTCTGCCATGAAGACACACACACAGAGCTCTGTTCCCCAAAGCCACAAAAGGGCCAAGCCCTGGGGCTGGCTCCCCCACCAGAACACCAGAGAGAAGTATCAGATTTAGGACCTATGTTTATCTAATGCTCATTTACGCTCTCACCATGATTTTTGTGCCTGTATCCAGAATGCTACACTTAACCCAGTGAGGCAAATGGTGCACGAAACAGAAAAAACAAACAAACAAACCAATAAACCAGATGCATACAACTGGAGAACAGAGTTTTGGCTAAAAGACAGGGGAGGCGGGGAAGGGCGTGAACTGATATCACTCCATTCGGGATTGATGACAATGGGGGCTGCTGCCCTAAAGGAGCAGAGCTTATGATTGAAGGGCTAACGATAATAACAGAACAATGCAATTCATGGGTGGAAGAGGGGAAACATTAATCGTGATGAATTCCTTTAAGCAACGCTCTATATAGTCTCACAGACAATTAACACAGACTTAGCGCTGATCTGATAACCCAGTATCAGGGGACAGAATGATATGCCTGTTGGAAAAATGGGTCTGTCTTCTGCAAGAAAATACATCTACGACAGTAATTTCAGTACTGGATAATCATTATTCGGATTTGATTTGAGTAAACTCACAAAAGATGGAATAGATAACAGAACGGATGGTTGCGATTTTGGTGTGTAGCAAACAGGGTTGTCTTCTTTTCAGAAGGAGGAGAACTTCAGTGGCCTTCAGCACTGCCTCCTGATTGTACCCAGTCATAGATGACCAACGGAATGCTCACTAGGGAAAACATTATCCCCAGTGTCAAGAAAAGAGAAGCCTGGAAGAAAAACGAGAGAAAATTAATGAATAAAAAGAAAAGACAATTAATTCAAGTATGTTAACTTCTCCTCCTAAGGAGATTTACAAGGTGATGTATCAAAGTTATCAGCTAAAATGGGATAAAACTTCTGGTAAAGACAAGACCCATAGATAATTAAACAGATTAGTGTCATTAATAATTACTTGCTGAACACCAAAACCAATTTTTTTCTCTCTTCAATGCACTTCTTAAACACCGATCATCCCTAAAGAGGATTAAGTGAGTCTGTTTTTAGGACCGATCGGCTCTGCCCTTTTCAAAGCCTCACAGAAATAAGTATAATCTTCCCATTGGGTATGTGTCCGTCGAAGCTCAGCCCTTTCGTCTTGGGGTCTGTGGATGGAGCCACAAGCAGAAACACGTGTTTCCTGCCTGTCTGCCCAGAGCAGGAAGATCTGACCTTACGATGCTTCCAGTGCACGCCCCATTAGACTGGGAATACACAGGAGCATTGTGACTTTTCAGCTGCAGCTTTTCCTGGGGCTCATAGAAAACCTTTCCAAGGCCCATTCCCATCTGCTCATGCATGCCAAAGAGCTTATGTTTCAGCTGGCTGCTTCTGGTGGAATCACAGAATCATTGGAAGGGACCTCTAGAGGTCATTTAGTCCAACCTCCACTAAAGCAGGATTGCCTAGAGTACACTACACAGGATTGCATCCAAGCAGGTTTTGAATATCTCCAGAGAAGGAGACTCCACAACCTCCCTGGGCAGCCTGTGCCAGTGCTCTGTCACCCTCACAATAAAGAAGTTCTTCCTCATACTCAGATGAAGCACCCTGACTCAGGCCATGAGGAAGATCACAAACAGGGTGCTTTGTACAACTTCCAGATCGACACACTGAAATGGGCAAAGCTTGCTGGGCTGAGAGGATGTGGCTCTTAGTGCCGTGGTCTGGCCGATGTGATGGGGTTGGGCCATAGGCTGGACTCGATGATCTCAGAGGTCTTTTCCAGCCTCAGTAGTTCTGTGATTCTGTTTGCTGAAGTGGGCTGGAGGGGTTCCCTCTCCTCCGCTACTGACAGCTACAGCTGCTTGCAGAGCTGCCGGTTGCCATCCAGGGGAAAAGCCCCTTGACTTTCAGAGAAGGTCCCCCCAGAAGACAAGGTGCCCTGCATGGTGCGGGCCCTCCACTGAGAAATCCCTGGCTAAGCAAAGGAGAAGGACAAGCACAGCTGCCAGCTGACTGAAGCAAGGAGGCGAGTAACATGAGGAAGCTCACATATACATTCAAATTGGACATTACAAGGATCTAGGACATTATAAGGAATGACAAGGAGAAAACATTGCACTGACGGGAAAGGAATGCATACCCAAATCCTCTGAGTCAACTTTGATCCGTCCTGCTGCGTGATTTTTAAATACAACGATGAAGGAAGAATGAAAATCAGCATATTGGCAGAAGTGACCCCTGCAAAATTCAGATAAATTAGTTTTGTTGGCTCTCAGCAACAGCTAATTATTGTGTTGCTGATCAGCAACAGTTTTTTTATTAGTAGTACAAAACCAGGATACTGTACCTACAACTCCAAAAATATCCTTCATGGATGGTATAAAAATGACTAACAGGTTGATGATAACCAAAAGAACAAAAGTAACCAAAACATGACGGCCTAAGTCAAATTTTGTTTTTCTAGCCAGCTCAAACAATGATGAACGCACCTGCAGGAAAAGAGAGAGAGAGAGAGATATTCTCTGTCAGGAATAATCTATAAGCCAATTCAAAGCTTCTCATATTTATTTTAACTGGTTCTTCATGTGATAAAAAGTGCTGCATAGATCTGTCAGAAATGTTTGGGTCTCTGTAACATCCTTTGAAATAATCCTTAAAATTAATTTGATTATTTCAAAACTGTAGGTATACCTGTATCTGCATTAGGATATTACTCTTTTTCTAACACTTCCTTCTACACTTAAAAATTAACTCCACCTCTGAGCCTGCTCCAGTGAGGTAACGTGAATTAAGACAGGGCCCTTGTGGATTCAATTTAAAACAGTTTTAAGACCAAAAGCAATTGTTTTATTTCCTGCAGGGAGAACTTGTCCAGAAGTTAGTGGGAGTCTTGGTGTGGGAGAAGACTGATCCAAGCTCAAGCTGTTTTTGTAGCTGCAACATCACTGTCTCGGCAACCTCTGGACAGTGGTTTGAAGGACGGTGCCGTGTACAACCGTTACCGACTTCCAAACCACGTGGAGCTTTTAACTTACGGTGAAAAACAGCACCGGCACCGTGAGTATCACCGCAACGATCACAGCCAAGCGCACGGTCAGGATGAGGATGTCGTCTTTGCTCTGGTACTTGTGAAGCAGATCTGACTGCACATCGTCTACGGAAAGGACAGCAAGGTAAGTGTTCTGGCAAACAGGCAACTCGCTCACAAAAATCATGGCTTAACAACAGCCTTCTTGAACAACAAGTGATTTATCTGCAAAAAGAGCACGGAATGAAACGTTCTCGAGTTAAAACAGCACTTTGAACCAAATCCTAATGATCCTATTATTCCAGATTAATCCTCTGGAGGCCTGACTTAGGAATCCTAATTCAAGACAGCACATGCCTAAAGCCTAAGGTATTTTTCACTGTAGGAAAGACAACAGTGAGACATAGACGAAAGCTTGCTTACATATATACATATATATAAAAAATAAGCAAAGAGAAATAAGCTATTTGTAACTGGCTCCATGTTTTTGGTGGTGTTTTTTTTTAATATTCAAATGATATAAAAATAACCACATGCACTGCAAAGGCTGAACTTAATATAAACTACAAGGTTTAGAGCTAAATTTATCTAAACAGCAAATAAACTTCCAGGGAAAAGCAGTGCCCCTGTTCCCAACCGAGAACAAAGCCTATCTTGGGTCAGCTCTCAGTAGGACGCTCTGACATTTGCTCTCAAATCCCTTGGCAGCTCCTCCAAGGGCTGCCCTGATGGGTTTTTCTCTTGAACTTGTCAGCCCCACCACCAGTGCCTGCAGCCAGCCCTGCACCAGTTGGTGGCCCCAGCAGCCCAGAAAAATCATGGGGGGAAGCGGGGGTGTGCTTAATGCGGAGGCGCAGGTGACGTTTTAATACGATCTCCTGCAAAAATGTTTCCTTGAAGCTGTGATAAATAGTGCAGAGTGGGTCTGCATGTGCTAACCAACTGAAAAAAACCCACAAAACCAAGCTGCTGAGGGACCTATGTGTTTGCTTTTTAACTTTTAAATACCTAGGAGCAATAATCTAAGGGGGGGGCGGCTGTAAAGCGTGCCACAAAATGTACTCGCTGCCCCTTTTCAGGCTTATGTTTGGTTTCTGCCTGCTAATCTGAGAAAGCTGGTGGTAAAACATAACCACTCTTAAAGCAAAGTCCTTAAAGGGAACTCGTCAGCCACGCCTGATTTAAAATCTTTGGCACTCAGTAAAACCTCCTGTATTCCTGGAGACAGAGAAACGTGTCCCACGGCGAAACGCCTGCGCTCCCCCCCAGGACACCCTTCTGGGGAGAGACCACAGGTCACCACCACCTACACAGTGCTTGAATCCCCACCAGGAGAAAGAAAACGCTCTCCCACCTCCCTGCAGATTACAAGAGTGGGGTTTTCAAGCCGGGCACATGCACAGCTTCTGCGACACAGAGCTTACTCTGCTCCTGCGAGCACAGACTGCAACTTCTGTACCGCTCACGGACTGCAGCCAGGTAGGAAGTGAAGGGCAAGGCTTACAGTTGAAGGTCTGTTTTCCTTTCAGCTAGATACACCACAGAGCCCAACCACAGTGTGACCTTTTAGGGGAAGAAAAACACCTCTTTTCTGTAATTCTGCAATGTAAATATAGTCATCACTGCAACACTTTTGAGAACACAGCAAACAGACAAGTACTATTGGTGTAAAGAAGAAATGGCCACAATAAAAATGCTGTTCTTGCCCACATAAGGGTAGAGAAAAGGGTTAGAATACTGTACGTGAACATACGAAAGGTAAGGTCTTGCCAGTTTCAAGGGGCAGAAGGATCAAAGTGGAGGAATTTTATGCCCCCTTGGTGTCTTTTTTGCTGCCTGCCATGGCACTGACCCTTGTGGAAGCCCCAGCAGAGCCTCACAGCTTCCACCCCCGTGGGCTTCTGGGGCTGGGGAGCAGGGACGCCTGCCGTGGGGAGAGGCACATGAGACACCCCAGGGATTTCTCCGCCATTCCCCCTGGGGAGGGCCAGAAGGACGCAGCCCCTACCTCCTCCATGGACTCCAGACCCTCGTCCTTGAGGGGTGTGGGAGATTCCCAGAGAGGAGCGCCACGGATCTGCCTCCTCAGATCCCTGGGGCAATCACATCAGAATCTCCTCCCTGCCAAAGCGAAGGGGTCCGCGCTGATTTACACCCACTTGCTCCCTGGGGATGCTAATTCGATGCATTTCTACGAAAATGTGTTAGACGGGAGCAGTTGGATGAGAACAGCTGTTGCTGTTGTCACTTGCAGCTCGTTTGCGGTTTTATTGGGAAAATTAGAACAGACGACCTCAAGTTACTTCAATGCATGCAGACTCAAGGCCTCATAATCAGAATGAGAGCCTGAGAAAACAAATATGAGATAGGAACACCTTTGAAAAAAACAAAAAAAAACAATGCCACATTTCATGTTTACTTATTTTGTTTCTCTTGCAATACATGGCTCACGAGGAACAGTATCATGAATGAGGAGATTATAACAAAAAGGTCACTTGGAATAGAGTGGAGAAGACTGATGATGACCTTTTGGTGACTCTGAGGTAAAAGGCAGACACCAGTTTTGCTGTCTGTCTTGTAACCCCTTAATGGTCCATGGAAAAACACCTAATTTTCAAGGTTCCCATTATACTGGAACATGGAAGTACCTTCCTGGGTGACATACATGCTTTATTCTACTTTACTGAATAATTAGGTCCTTTAGGGCGTGCATGTTGCATCCTTTAGTGATACAACACAATTCTTTTGCTTCTTTGAGTGAACTGATGTGCATGAGAAGAAACGGGGGTGCAAATCTCAAAACACTGAAATAATCATCCTTTGACAGCTGAGCTGGGACAACACTCGAAGCTTCGCCACCTTTACTCACGGCTTATTTAATCAAGATCTGAAGGGGTCAGCTCTAGGGACACAGGGAAAATGTTTGGTCCTTTGCCTCTATGACGAAAGCATCAATAAGAAAATGAAAAATTTGTGATAGCTGATTTGATACTCGTCTCCTAGGACCCGCTCTCAAATCTGTCTCACTTTTTATGCAGATATGCACACCTCAGTCATTACCAATGTACACATTCAGGTGAGGACCTTGGAAGAAAAATCTTAGTGGGGCCCAGCTAATTCCCCATTCTCTTAAACAAATCTCTCCCCCATATTCTGAATATGCCTTTTGCAAATAATACTTTCACTTGTGCTTTTCATCCACAGGGAAAAAGGAGGAAAGGCTTTGTACCTTCAATATGAACATTTTAACAAAAATTATTTGCAAAAGGATGGGACTTTCCTTTCCAGCTGAGATACGCTATTGATTTCACATATATTTCCTTTCTACTTGGATCAGTAAAGAACTGCACACTTACCATAGAAAGTCAAATAGCCAAATATGGCAGTCATAAAGTACATCACAAACATGGCAAAAAATGAGATATTTGAAACCAACTGCATTTTTTTCTGTGAACGGCTGGAGAAAGAAGAAAAAAAGAACACAAAAACAGTTGGACTGGGTTTTTCAATAGCTGTTTAAAAATGTATTAAATCTTAGAATAAACATCATAATTCCGGAGAAACTCATGAATGCATTTTCATTTAAAACAGGATTTCACTGACAGCTGCGCAAGCAAGAGAAGGACTAGGGGAACAACTTAAATCCCAAGTAGGTAGGTCCACCCTGTGGCTCTGCTCCCCAGGCATATTCGCTTAAACAGAGAGGAGAGACATAGCCCCTAAACACTTCAGTAATTAGATTAGAAGATCAAAATAAAGGAAGAGTAAAATTATGGAAGGTAAAAACCCCCACCATTCTGAATGTTTGCAGAGAATTTTTTGTGTCCACGTGGGTAGAAGATAATGAATGTATGCAGACCACTGTAGACCTGTAAACTAGTTTAAGTGTAAACATTTCATCTTTAGGTATTTGTTCTGAAATATTTGCACTCCAGTACCTAAACTTAGACTTTTAAATCCGCGTGGGGATGCCCTAAATAGGCACCTGGGAACCTGCTGAAGTCACTTGAAACTCAAATAACTGGGACCTGAGGGCACCCGTGGGTGGGACTGACCCCGACCTCTCCCCTGGGGCTCCCCCAAAGCACTTGCAGCTCCCCACAGCCTCGCCCAGCCAGAGGTGTCAGCAATACATCTGTATTGGCAAAGGTCTTTTAGTACAGGCGAGGCTAAAAGTACTTTTGTTTTTTCCCTGGTACTGCAACATTTTTTTAGTTGCACTGGAACAAACGCTGTTAGCTGAACGCACGCCTCTCTCCGGTGCCAAGTAACGACACCAGAACAACTTGGCTCTCCCCAGGCTGCTGTTGTACTTCCAGAGAAAACTCTCAAAGTATTGCATTGTCCTCAACCTCCCTCATCCCTGTCCCAGCAGCACGCCTAGGAGGCCAGATTTGCTGTCAGCCACACTCGTTGGCTTGTTGGGTGTTATTAAAGCACATCTCCTCCAAATGGCACAAATGACTCAGAGCACCTCTGCGCTAACATTTTCCATGTAAAGCGGTTCAAAACAATTAACTGGGAAAAAAAAAAAAGAAAAAAAGAGAAAGGCTTACTCTTTAAGTTCGCTGTAAATTGGGAGGACCGATGGGTGGCACACAAACGCGAAAGCAATAGTGGGCAAAGCATACACGGTCTGTTTGGAGAGAATTTCAGAAAAGAAGTTAAGAAGTATTTCCCCAGTGCTGTGAAGAAATGATCCGTGTTCAACCACTTCAGCTTGCCAGCTCTCTGGACTCTTCAACTGAATGTTGAGAGCCTTCAGAGAAGGCAGAAGACCTGTTGATTAGCACGTATTCAGTGAAATATGGAGAGCAACACTCTGTCAGTGGGAGGACAAAGTCTTTATGCAAGTTGCGTGAAGACAGTCCTGACACTGCACGCATCTGCTGGTTTTGCTCCCTGAGGTGGGTTTCCCTGCCCAGCTACTGCCACCTCGCTACTAACACCTCGTCACGTGTAAAAGGGATGTCTGGTGGGTCACTGCTATGCTACCCTGCTTTGGCATGGACAGGGGTGTGCACCCGTGGTGCTAAGGCTGAAGTCCTGAAGACGAAGCCCATATCCAGACTGTAAGAAAAGAGAAGAAGAATGCAGAACTTACAAATAAATGGATATTTCAAGGTACCAGACTGAGTCCCTTCATTTCCCAGGCCAATAAAAGGGCTAGGAGGGCTGTGGAGGGAGCATGCTTTTCCTTGGGGAAAGAGAGAGACTGTTACGTCACCAGGAAGCGCAAGAGGCCTCCGGCGGGGACCTCACCCCCTTCTCCACCAAAAACCTGAGTGGGTTTCAGTCCTCAGAGTACAGCAAAACTTCACAAATGATCTCAGCACCTAAGCACTTCCATTCTCCCCAGGGAACGAGTACGAGCAGAGATCACAGGAAAACCAGGTCCTCCTGCGAGCACAGAATGAGTCCACCCCTACATGCAGCTCTCCCTCACCCTTTGAGACCTGCTTGCGCTGGCCACAGGCATCCCCAATCCACAGAAGTCATCCTGGGGTATGCCCCAGGACCAACATATTGGTTAAATATGCTGGTTGCTCTCCAGCTGTCCTTCCTCAGCCAGGCCTGTGCTGCCTTCTCTCCCTCACTCACAGCACGTTATTGTTGTGGAGTCTCCAACGGTGGAGACACTTGGAAGTTGCCAGGACATGGTGCTGGGCAACCAGCTCTAGGTGGCCCTGCTTGAGCAGTAGGACCAGATGACCTCCAGAGGTTCCTGCCAACCTCAGCCATCCTCTGATTCTGTGAAACTGTCTCTCCTCTCACACACCAAAGTTTCTAAAGTGATTGGTGAACTGTTAGCCCCAAGGGCAAATCTCTAGAGTTCAGCCCCTACATGCCTAGCTGGGATGGACTGATCATTCCGATGTGCCTCCATTGATTCTGAGGCAAATGCTGATACTTACTGTAGGAGAAGGCGATTGCCTTTCAACGCTAAAAAACACCTGCACCTAGGCTGCTATTGCACACCAAGTTAACTAATTTTTGGTCCATCACACCTGATTTGGACTGATGGCTACCCTCAACTAAAGAAAAGTGCTTGCACTGGCTTCTCCAACTGAAGCTAGGAGGATGGAATTTAAAAAAAAAATAATTTTTGCATGCATATGCGATACATGTGCTATTCCCTATGAACGCGACAGCAACACCCCGAGGACCCTGCCCTGCTGGATAAGGTGCTGGTTAACGAGTGCTGTGTCCCAGCACAGCTGACAGGAGCAATCCTCCTGCTCCCACAGCTACAGCCAGTTGCTCTTTCGCATTCTCTTGGCACAACTTTTCCTGCAGCTGTGTGCCGATGGAGGAAAGCATCCAGCTGAAAGGCAATCACATTTTTGCTGGATTAGCTTTCAACTGTATCCTTTTCGGGATCCAGTTCACCATATGGATACGAAAACACATACCCTGTCACAAAGAAGTGGTTTGTGCGCAGAAGGGCAGAGGGATTACTTCTGGGCTTCGGATGCAGGAATGGCTTATTCGGCCTTTGCTGAACTACAGCCTAAAGGCGCAGTTGCAGCACCGACAGTAAGGAGCAGTGGAAAGGAAAACTCCCAAATAAAGTCTTAATTGTCTGGCGGTAGGTCAGGCTCACAGCCTTAGCACAACTACTACTGGGGCAGAGCAAGACTGCGAGGAGGTACCTTCAGCACGGCATCTCCGTAAGACTGGGCAAGTGCGTTCATCACTAGAGCACAAGTGGAAGCACCGAGAATCAGGCCCTACGTGGTGCTGATCAGATTAAGAACACGAGGTGTAGGTGTCTGTATTATGTGAGTTAAAAATAAGTATTATAAAAAGAGACATACCTTGGAATTAAAGATAACATACTTTGGCTTACAAATATGTTCATGTGCTGAGCTATTTGATAGGATAGATGATGTTGCATTTAGCTCCGGTCCACCACAGGGAATTTGAAACTTCTTGTAAATAACCTAGAACAAGAGTGGAAGACACTAAATTGCTACAAGGAAGAGTAAAAAGCAGATTACAATTAAAACATCAGAGAAATTGTGAATGTCCGATCAAGTGACTCTTGAAGGCAAGCTGAACTTACCACTACCAGGAAAAATACCATGCAGCTTAATGAAAATCCACTGGTATAGCCAAGATACCCTGAAAGAAATTAAAAGGAAATCTCATACGAAATTATTTTATTAGCCCTATCTTGGTTTTCACTTTTTTTTGCTGTTTCATGAGAAGTTTAAATGTGTTATGCATTTAATAGGTATCGAGAGCTTCTGTGCAGGACAAAAACATGCCCTGTTGGTGTGAGACCCTCCCACATTGCGAGTCTGCCGGCTTTCAGACAGACGTGAGCCTTGCTCTGACCGGTTTGACTTCCCAAGGGTCAGCTTTATGGCAGTTTAAATAATTTTACTTTTGAAAAGGGCCGCGAAAATTGAAATGAATCTGAAAATGTGCAGTTGTAATCAAAACATGACCCAGATTCCCTGTGATGAGCCATGTCAGACGAGTATGGGTTATCTTCTCAAAAGGAAGATCACAACAGGACTTCAATGCCAGAATTTGTTGCATGGTTTTAAAAGATACATGTTGTACCTACTATGCATTCAAACACATTTGACATCTATACACATCTTACTTCAAAGTCCAATACCTCAAATTAACCTCACCACTAAAAATTTTGATGCTGATAGAAAAAAAAAGTTATTTTTTGTAATCTTGCAATTTGTGCACTTATTTTTACAGGAGACACATAAAATAAAATTGCCTTACGGTATGAAGAACCTCTTAACTATATTTTTAATATCAATTTCCACAACTCTGTGGATGAAGCTGGTTTATACTGAGTTGAACTTCTGTGACGTTTTGGGCCCACTTGTTCCAAGGTGCTCAAAACACAGCTTATTCCTGGACCAGGGAGACCGCTTCAATTACAATAAAAGCACATATTTTCCTTATATTTGAGCTGCCAGTGTGGGTGTCAGGGGCATGATGTCTGTGCTCCCTTTATTTTATTCCCACAATGGCATTTGTATCTTACCTAAGTTCTTTAGGAGACATAAAGGGAGGATTATACCAAATGTCACCGTGACAACAAGAATCCGCCCATCCACGTACCATGCCCTGCATAAAACATTAAAAAAACCCCATTGTGAGTACACATTAAACTCTCTCTGGCTTTCCTCATGCTCAGTCATCCTCTTTCATCCCTGCAATTACAGATCTAGCTTTGGTCTCCTCATCCTACAGGCTTCTACACAAGGAGAGATGGGAGCCGCATCGAAACTTTGCAGACTCATTTTAAGTATCCAGCCTTTAAAAGCCGGCACTGCTCTAACACGGATGCAGAAGATTTTCGGAGTCACCGGACAAAACATCACCCTGCTGCTGAGGTCAGTGAGTGGGGCAGAACAAGACCCTCCATCACCTGATATATAATAAGCCGCCCTGCCAGATCATGCAAAGGGCGGCACAGTGGGGCGAGGCTGAGAGGGGGGCACCATGACCTGTTTTTGCTAAACCACCCAGGCACGTGCCTGAAGCGGCAAAGCGGGCTCCCATGAGCCGGCATGCACCAGCCAGCAAAAGGCTGTGTCTCCTTCTAGCAAAGGGCTTTGAATCCTGCTGGAAAGCAAGACAGGGGAAAAGGGACAGAGTTAGTCACATTCTGTATGTCCTATTTCCACTCCTTGGACCAATTTAGCATGACAGCCTGAGGAATAGGATCTCTACCTTCTTCTGTTCCTTACAAGTACAAAGGATGTTTACCACTGTAAGGAAATACCACCCCTCTGTTGAAGAAGCTGGTAAATGTCAAGGATGCAGAAATCCATGTATAATATTCTATTGCTGTAAATATGTTAGTATCGAAGAATTTCATGCTATAGACAGTTTTTCAGGAGCAAGATGCCAAGAACACAGGGAAATACATAATAACTTAAACTTGCGTTGTTCCTGATATCTTCAGGTGTTGCCTAATGCTATAAAAGATTGGAAACTATGATAACTGAGTGGTGTGTATAAATCATAAATCTTCATGAAAATCTGGTGTGCAGACAGAGTAACTACTGATGTCTTCACCTTTCATTTCCTGTCCATTCTCTTTTCTTTCTCTTTTTATCAAACCCCTAAGATACTCCCGTGAAAATGGACTTTGGCAAACCTAGCATACTCAATACTTAAGAACTTTTACAAATGTATGCTTAAACTTATCTACACAACATTAGATTCTATAATCGAATCACGAAAATTAATTCAACTTACCAAAAAGTTTCTTCTTTTCCCATTAGAAACTTTATGGCAGAAGGCAGCTCATTTTTGACTATGAAGAGATAGCTCAACATTGCTGGGGGAAGAAGAAAGTCAGTTTAGAAAAAGGGCAAGATATTTTGTGGAACAAGTACAGGGAAGCATCCTAAGCCTTTTCCCACATCAGCATCTGATGATGGAAGACCCCAAACTGTAACTGACTGTAAACTCCTGATCACTCAGTAATACAGCATTTTTAAAAGGCTGCATGCAAAGTCTTAGCCACAGCTATACTGAGGAGCATGAAGATCCCAAGATGTCACTGAAAGAAGGAGGAACCCAATTGGTTGACAGCCGTAGCATTATTAAGATTTTCCTGGGTTTTATTTTTCAATACACCTCCTTTACCTCCAACATTCTGGAGAGACGTAGATCCGAAGACAATCATTTTCCCTGCGGTACCAAAGACCTGCTCACCCAGCTTTTCATACACCATGCAGCCTGCATGAAAAGAAATGAGAAAAATAATAAATAAACCAGTGAAGGCTGTTGAGTCAAAACATTCATGATTCCTTTCCACCCATCTGTGCAGCCATATCTGCCCTTTGCAAGTAAATAAAGAGCCCTCTTGTAATTATGAGGGCTGAAACTTATCCAGGAACGTTTTCTTGACATCTATAAATGTTATTGTTGGCTACCAGTCACTTTCGAAATGGAAGCTCTTAATGAGGCTATTACATCTCTTTAATGAGTCTGTCTATACCCCTAGTGACATGTTAAGGTCTGGTATCCCCATCCTGGCATATGAGGTTTGTGCCCGCAACGAGGGTGACATAGAAATCCTCCCTTCCAGACAAGGCTGGGACAGCAGGTCCCACAAGTCAGCACCGGCAGCCTGGCCGCAGCAGACGCAGAGCTGAGGTTCTGCAGCTTCGCTTGCTTTGACTGACCGATCCAAATGAGGGCAGCCACTGTGTTACAGGATGATTTACAATTTCTAATGATGGAGCCTTAACCTGTGAATTCTCAGTGCGGTATGTTTTCGGTAAAAGCAGGGAAAGGTGTAAATTATAAGTAAAAATTCTCTTTAAATATCTGTCAAGCTTTCTTGGCTGTGATTTTGGCTGAGAAAATGACTGGACTGTGAAGATGGCGAGATACACGAGAACAGAAAGAGAAATATTGCGGATGTTACACAACTTTTTAAATGCATCCCATTGTTTGGCTTTCTCTATATTTCTCTATATTCCTTACAGCTGACATTTCTGCTTTGAAGCTTGTATAAATAATAAGTTTGAGCTTAAATGTACCAGCAGCATAGAAGCCAGGGCCTAGATTTTGGGAACTAACAGGGCATAAATATGTCCACAATTAGGCATACGTACCTAATGTAAATGGGCAGTTGCTGTCATTATATATGTTGTAACAGCAACTCATGTGTGTCCAAATTACCTATTAAAAAAATCACAGTGTTTTTGTGCACAGATAATTTTGAAAATCTGGCTTCGGAGATTGTTGCC